GCATTTTATTACTATATTTTAATTTTATAAATATATTTGTCAATTATTATGCTAATAAAATGCTAATATTAGCAATAAGTGACTATTTCGAAAATAAGTAGGATTTTTTCAATAACATTTTTACTATGTTGGATTGTAAATCGGAAAAATAAAATAAGATTTTGAAACCCCCTATTATTAGATTTTGTAAAGTAGGAAATCAGAATCTGATGTGGGTCCGAAGCATTATCTATTGGCAGATAATACGAATGTACTATGGTATTCTCAAATCTTAACCATTTGGTATTGTTATTTGATTCATAGTTTGTATTGTTATTTATTTCATTTATCTGATATTGTATGCACGTACGTACGTACGCAATCAAACGTTAACTGTTAATATAACTGATTAGTTAGTACACAGACTGCTGATCGGTCACAGGACCCAAATTTCTGAAAAATGTTGCAGTCACATGATGAACGACAGAAGATTAGCCAATAACGAATTATGATTTGGTGTAACGTAACACGATAAGGAAATTTCAAAACAAACTTATTTCTCACAAATTTACATAAGTTTTCCTTGAGCGATTTTGCTACTAGGACCCCTTCTCTTCAACCCTAAAATAATCCTTACCCTAACATAAATGAACCTTAAAGATTTTTCGAATATCACGTGACTGCACCATTTTCAGGTGATACTGGGGAAGATCACAGACTTCAGATTGGTCATGAGACCCAAATTTCTTGAATTTCATTGGCTTTATGCACCAGACATTGCATACATCTGCATTCACTTTGCTTAAACTTCCCAGTAAAAAGTTTTTGTTTATTTTTTGTATAAAAATTGTAAATTAAATTAATATAACAATTTTTATACAATTATGAGCATCCATTTATACAGTTTTTGTAGACAGTTTGTAATAAATATATAATAAATTTATTTAAAAATCAAAGCAAATTTATATTTTATTTTTATATTTGTTACATATACATAAATATTATATATTAAATATGTACTAATTTTGCGGCAAATATATACTATATATGTTAGATTTAAATAGGTATTATAATTAAATATAAATATATATAAATTAAAATGAAAATATAGTTAGATATAAATAAATACTAATTAAATATACGAATTAAATTTATTTACTTACAAAACTTCTTAGAAAAAAGACCAGTAATTATTAATTATTGTGCTACTTTACGCTTGCGGCCAGAACGTCTTGGATAAGCTAAAGATGTGCCAATATTTTCTATTAATTTATATACCAATATAAAGTACTATAGAAACTGTGGTGACGGTGGGTTAATGTGGTAAATTGTAGAGGTGGGATACGTGAATATCCACAATTAAAAATGAATTTTGAATATCCATGAAAATCCGGATATTCATTCAATACTACTTGTTGATGTCCAAAACCCGTAAATAATAAGTAATCCAATGAGATTGAGTAATACCAAGAACGTAGTGGAATGATGTGTACGGTTAAATTCGAGTTTTGGGTTCATACACAAAATTATAATTGGACATAATAACGAATAATGTTCATGGCATAATTACTGCGTAAAGATCGTTGACGAGTGCAATCACCTAATCCTGATTTACCACATTAGCCCATCTTCTTCATAATATCTTAAATTTAGACCCACTTACTTTGAATATTCGGACTGCTAGATACTGATAACGGCTCTATTTAAATATAAAAAATTGACTAATTATTAAAAAAAAATAACTATATATTAAAAAAAAACTTAAAAAACCTACGTACCAATATTTTTTTCTAATAAAGTTGGATCATTATCATCAACATTGATAGGTGCATTGTGATAAACTTGTTTTTCTTTTTTAGCTTTTTTACTATTGCCGTTAGGTTTATGGGCTTTGGTTTTATTATTAGTAGGAGCAGCTGTATCTTGAGTTTCGAACATCCCACTTACGTTTTGTGCTAAGCCTATAAGTTTTAAAAGAAATCATTGACAGTTTGATATAATGTAGAATAATAATAGGATAAACAACTTACTAATATTTCTTTCTGGTAAAGTTTGATCGCTGTCATCAACATTGATCGGTGCATTGTGATCAATATTTTTTCCTTTTTTAGCATTAGAACGGGTTTTGGTTTTATTATTAGTAGGAGCAACCATATCTTGAGTTTTGGACATTCTACTACCATTTTGTGTTGAGCCTATAAGTTTAAAAAGTTAGTCATTAACGAATCTAATATAATATAAAATAATAAACAACTTACGAATGTTTTTTTCTGATAACCCTGGATCGCTGTCATCAACATTGATCGGTGCATTGTGATCAATAGTTTTTCCTTTTTTAACATTAGAACGGGTTTTGGGTTTATTATTAGGGGGGGTAGTTGTATCTTGAGGATCAAGCATCTCACTACTATTAAATGTAGGTTCTATAAATTTAAAAGATGATTATTGATTTGTTTAATATAATATAAAACAATAATAAGATAAACAACTTACCAATATTTTTTTCTGATGAACTTTGATCACTTTCGTTAATATCGATAGGCGTATTATGATCAACATGTTTTTCTTTAGGGGCTTTGATTCTCTTATTAGTAAAAGCAGTTGTGTCTTAAGTTTTAGGAATTTCACTAACCTTAGATGCTGATCCTATAAGTTTTAAAAAATGATCATTAACAAGTTTAAAATAACAATAATGAGATAAACGACTTACTACTTTTTTCTGATAAATTTGAATCGCTTTCATTAACTTCGATAGATACAACATATTTCCCTTTTTTAGCTCTTTTACTGTTGCCATTAGGTTTACGGGATTTGATTCTTTTATTAGTAGAAACGATTGTTTCTTGAGTTTCAAGCATTCCACTAATATTAAGTGTTGAACCTACAAATTTAAATAATGGTCATTGACAAGTTTGATATACCGTAGAATAATAATGAGATAAATTAAGTTTACGTTTATAATTGACATGACGACGAATCATCTCACGTTCTGCCCAATCACTAACTGTTGTTGGAAAGGATGGATATTTTCTACGAAACTAGTGCAAAATAAATTTTAATTAAAAAAATATATATATAATATTATAATATTACTGCAATGCAGTTGGCTTAGTATGATTTAGCCAATAAAGCCAATGCCAGGTAGTTGACAGACTTTAGCAGTATAACTTTAGTTCAAGTCATTACGGTCTAGCTTAATTTCAATTAATTAATTTACCTTATCAATACATTTGTTAATTTCAATAAGAGGCATATCACGATATTCAGTAGTAGAACACAAATGATAAAGTTTTTCAGCTACTATGAGTCTCATGGATTTCTGTAATTATTTTTTAAATTAAATAATTTATCTAAATTCAAATACAGTAAACTATAGATAATGCATACCATATAACAATTCCAGAGTCGTTTTGGTATATGAAGAAAAGAAGGAATTTTTTGATAGTTTATATTTTTCTTTTTGAAGACGGGCTATTATGTATAATAAAAATAATAGATATAGTATTTTTAAAAAAAGATATACTTTCAAATAACAATTTTTACCTGCTCAGGATCATCACTAGAAAATTCAGTATCATTTTCGTCTGAGACTTGAGGGCGGCTTCGTTTTAGTGATCTCTTTTTTATCTTGTCATTAGAAATTTCTTCTACGGCTTGGACTTTATTAGCTTTATTTGTTACCACTTTGGAGGTTTTGTCATGAAAAGGCTCATCTTCTACGATTTGCATTTTAGTTATTTCATTTCGATTTAATGTTTCTTTTTTGGCTTTATTTCGTTCTTTGTTTACTTTATTCGTTTGCACTTTAACGGTTTTGTCATCAGAAATCTCATCTACAACTTGTACTGTACTTCGATTTAATGGTCCTTTTTTCTCTTTATTTAGTTTTGCCACTTTCAATGTAGAGGTATCTTCAAGCTCAGCAATCATTTTCTTAAGTTTAGCAATTTTCAATATGGTTTCTTCGTCATGGTCATTTAATTCGCTGGTGGAAAATCCACTTTCAGAATTGGAGGAATAATCCGACGTTTCATTGCATTCCATTTTATTTGTAACTAAGTATTCTATATCATAACAAATTGACAATAACAATAAATGCCAAAACTAGACAGTGAATAAAGAATATAAAAATATATCTTACGCGAATAATTATATTATTTTTAACGAAAAGGTAAAGATAATTTGAGTGCTGATACGGGAAAAGAGCCCTAGATTTTTTAAATATATTATTGATTATTAATCTGTTTTAGCCCTTCTGATCGATGTTATATCGGGTTTTAAATTATACTGATAATATCGATATAACTTAGAGCCCGATATAACATCGATCAGAAGGACTAAAACAGACTAATAATCAATAATATATTTAAAAAATCAAAAGGCCCTTTTCTCTTGGCAGCACTTAGTTACAAGCTACTAAAGTGACAATAAATTTATATATCATTTTATACTTTATTATATAGACCATAGTATTAGCGTGATGCAATTTTTTTTACATAATAAACATTAAACATCACTTAGTTATACATCACATAAACTTATAAATAGTATTTAAAAATAAGCTCAACGTTATTTGTCACTTAAATATTATAATCCGGGTGCTGTAATTGTCTTCCAAAAATAGAGTAATTACCTTAAGTATGTGGCGCAGTTGTCAGATTTAACAATGCTTAGAATTTTCACTGCGGACCAATATTATTGTACCCTTTCATACTCTTTTCTATATCATAAAATTTAATTGTTAAAACTATTCACCAAATAATTATTATGCAAATAATCATTAAAAGTCGTCAAAAAAGAAAAAAGACAAGCAATAAAGGACTAAAAGTTCTTTGTGATTGTTTGAAATGTCAAAGATTTTCTTTAAGCCGAAATTTGGTTTCAATTTCAACTCACACACGACACCGAAAAAACTATCCTCAAAATACTCATGAATCGAGTAATAGCGAACAAGTAATAAGTGATGCTGAACAAAAATTAAGCAACGAGCAAGAAATGAGTGATGTGGAACAAGA